GCTTTAAGTGATCGGCAGTTCGGCGATCATGGCATGTATCCAGTGTCACGTGGTAGATCAGTACCCAAATTGTTACAGATTTATAAAAAAAGTTGAAATAATTTGATTAAATTTATAATTAATAGAAATATCAATATGTATAAAACTGTTTAAATATATAGCTAAATTTATAAAAATCAATAAAAATTAATAATATTAATACTTTATTTTTTAATTTATTTTTTTTTAATTCATTTTTTTAATTCTTTTAATATACAATAATATATATTTTTTTAAATTTAAAAATTTAAAATTTTTATTTCTATTTTTTTTAATTATAAATAATTAAAAAATATGAAATTACATAAGTTTAATAATATCATTAGACAATTATATTATTATATTTTACAATTTTACAATATATACCATATATATAAATTTTATATAATTTTAGAAAAACCTTTTTAAAATACAATATTATATAACTATAGTTATTACTGTTTATTACAATCTGAATTCAACAGGTTTAATATAATGATTTTTTTTAATTTTTATATTAAAAAAATAACAATAAATAAATAAATAATATTGAAATTAACTTGATTTTTCTAATAATTTAAAATTTGCATCATTTTATTACTGTATATTTTCATTCGAGAAATAAAATATGTTGTTACAGTATATGCATTAATAAGGCGGAATTGGATTATTTTAGTTATTCAATAAAAATATTTTTTATGATTAAGCAATTAAATACTTTAATAAAGAAATTATAAAGAACTTGTTGTCTTTTAAAAAAAGCATTCACTGTGTACCTTACGACATATATCTAATTGTTAATTTCATTGGTTTGCAATATTCCTATCAAGAAATGCTGTAGTCCAGGGATGCAGTGAAACGTACGTTTTCAGCATCACATCCTGCCTTCTGCAGAAACAAGAATTATATAACACAGTAGTTTGATATGTATTGTTCAAATTTGATTGTATCTTTTTTTTTTTTTTAAAAAAAAAACAATATAAGCGAGCAAATATTCTTTCAAGTGTATCAACCGGAAATCTCTTCCAAATGAATCACATCGAAACCATGTAAAATGGTACGATTTTTTAATATCATTGTAATTTTATCGAGTATTAAAATTGATATCTATAATAAATAAAACCAACGTACAGTAATTTCCGAAACTCTATACCAATTTGTCAAAGAACGACTCATTCGATTATTAATTGATTCAAGAAAAAAAAATAAGAAAATGCTTTGCATGTATAGATCTTTGTCACTTTCAATCCTTTATGAGAAAATTGAGTGGTTTTTTACTTTCAAAAAAAATTGGGTGATGCGTAATTTTGGAAACTTCTACATATAACGTATACTGTATAAAAATAATGATGCAACCAGGGTGCTACATACCGTGATGCCTCTCGCACACCTTACCATATTTGTTAAAATTCGAATTATCAAATATAATACAGTAATAATATTGCCTAAATAAGAAATTAAATGCTATACAGTATTCAAGTTTTGTTTTTTAAAAAAAGGATGAATGGACATATGGTATAGTACTGTATCAAGTATTGTGAATTTATATTTTTTGGCAATATTATTAATTTGATATTTTTAAATTATTCCTTACTGACAACGAATATGAGCAATTTGAAATTAATTTTGAAGGTAATTTATATGTAAATAATATTGGTAAAATACTAAATAAATAAGAATAGTAGACTAATAAAAATTCACCAATGAGTCGCGAAATGAAACCAACATTTATTGTCAAGGCATTTCACGAATCCAATTACGAGGTCCTTTCAGTAGAAATAGATTTTTGTAATTCCTTCAGGGTACCATCAAAAATTAAGTATCAAGACGATCAAAACTTGAAAATAACAACCGTTTGGGGTCGTCGCGTAAATGTGATTATTGTTCATTTCGTAGTGTACAAATGAATAACAGCAATCAGGTTCCTGATCAAAAACAAGTTTATAACAATTTAGGATATAAAATGAAAATATATTTGGAAATAATGAATGTCTATATCGGTAGATATGTAAAAAGATCCTATGACCTAATGTAAGAATTTCCGAATTACGTACTTATCGCAATAAACTTTTTTTGCAAAGCGTTAAGACCATCGCTTGCTACCTTAAAATCTTCATAAAACAAATTCTTATTCCTAGCATTTTATAAATTTATAATTTTTCTTACATTGCACGAAATTATAATTTCGTGCAAAACTAGGATTAGGCACAAATTTTAATGTTCCCTTAATTCGTTAGAGTTATAACTCGCCAAACAGTACACTTTTCTGTAATCTCAAAGAGCTTTATCTAAACATTACATTACCCTCATAACTTATTAGGATGTACTCTAACTGTACAAAACTTGCTTTTTGTAAGTCGGTTAAAATCATTGAATAGTCGATTTCTAATTTGTTCTCAGTCCTTTATTAATCTTTCTTTTTTTAAAGAAGAAAGTTCCATAAAACGACGACAAAGTAATTATCGTAACGAGGACAACATGGATACAATTAAAGGTATAGAATTAACCTCATTAGGATCGATATTATTTTGTATTTACCAATTTCCATAAGAGTGTTATTTATTTCCTTCTTTTTTTACACTTACGTCTCCATTTACCATTTAGTTTACACTCCATCCGTGCTCATTAATTTAGACATAGCAAATATAAAGCGAGTATATTTTTTCTACAGTTTACACCGTTACTTACAAATATTTCTAAATTCTTATCCACATTAAGAAAGGGTTTTGCGTGAAACTTAAAGGTTTACAGCAAGGGGGAGTTATGCTGTGAAAGAATCAATTTAACGGTTCTTTCCTTACTTCTCAAGCTGTTATATATGTATTCCACTCGTCATGCGATTGAAATTTCCTCATTTCCGTATTTGGTCCTTGGGAAACAGTAATACTTGACGAACGTGGAGAAATTTAACGCGTAATCTACTCTATATAAATTATCTTCTATTTTTGATTATATTATAGTTTTGAATAAATTTTACATTAAAATATTCAAAAGAATTGTTTTGGCTCTTGAAAAAAACTCGCAAAATCTATATCCTTTTCAACTATCACGTTTAAAAAGTTACAAGTCCTTCGCCCTTTTCCGTCGATTACAGGTGTCACCAGCAGAAATGTAAAATCTGTTGGTCGTTATTTCATGATTAGCGACTAACAAATTTTACATTTCTGCTCGCGACATCTTTACATGCGTATCACTATTTCCATATTATACAATAATAGCATATTTCTGAGTGTTCCCTAAGTACTTTGATTCGTATCCACAAAAAATCATTTCCTTTTAATTTTATTGCATTGTTGATATTATTACTTTTCTTTTTTTTATTTTTACCCAGAAATTTTGAATACTAAATTAGACTCATTACGGTTGATTCTTTCTTTTCCCACGTTCGATTATAGGCGTCTATGATTGTCGATTCGTCATATTCTTTTCATTTCTTTTTTCTGTCTGAAAACAGAAACGTTAATTTAAGCGCTACTGCGATCGGACTTTTCTATTTTCGCTTTTTATTACAGGCGTCTATGGTTGTCGATATGATTTTTTTCCCCTTTTTTTCTAAACAGAAAATACAATAAGATAAAACAGATTAAAAAAATATGCCAACGATTGAACTTAATCGTTCGTCGTAACCTTTAGGTGAACGCTTTAACACTTTTAATAGCATTAGACAGTACTACAGTATATCGATATTTAAATTACTTTTTTAATTTTACACAAACGATTAGAACTAAAACATATACTTTACTGAATCTATATTTACTATGTGTAAACTAACTAACTAATTTAATTAGTCCTTTTTTTTTTTTTGTTTTTTTTTTGGTATTAAAATAACAACTAACATTTTATTTCATTATTCAAGAATAAACACATCAAATATTAATCTGTAATCCTTGTTTTGACAATTTATACATTTTTTACCCTCGTGAAAGAACAAAGATGCTTGATTGGCTAGCATTGCAATTTGGCAAGTTTCTTAACGGATATTTTTTAGAACAAATGTTTGGGAAAAGAGTATTAATGCTGCGTACGCGATAATTTATTTATTCAAAATTTTTATCAAATATCTTAATTTTTTACACAATCTAAATTCCACAATGCAGTATTTAAGATTTCGGTATTTGTTTAAATCATAAAATGGGAGGTTTTTTTTAAATATATTTTTTATGTTTCAATACTTTAAAAAATTTTTGATAAACTTTGAAATAAATAATGAAAAATAAATGTATGATCATATTCTTAAAAAAAAGTAATAATAATAATTTTTTAAAATATTTGATTTGTTTGTTTTTTATGTTATAAAAAAGGTTTGAGGTTTTATTGTTTGTTTATTACTTTATTTCAAAATCATATTATTATATATTTAAAAAAGAATTTTCAGTTAATACTAATTAAACAAAAAATTTCAAAATGATTTTTTGTCTGTAAATTAAAAAAAATAATAATAAATATTTAAAAAATTTAGAAATCAAAAAATACAATATCTTGTAACAATAAATTAATAATATAATACAAAAATTTATATAAAAATAAAATTAGAATCTTATAAAATATTGTATAAAAATTTTAATGTATCTATATATAATATTATAAAATTTGAATTATAATAATATAATATTTAAATATTTTTAAAAAATTAATTATCTGCTTATTTAAAATTTTATATTTAAAAACTTATATGTAAAAAACTTTAAAATTATAAAAGTATTTGATACATTAAAAATTAAAATCAAAAAACTTTTTTTTAATATTAAAACTTTATAATTACTTAAATAATTTCAATTAATTCGAATTTAAAATTAAATTTTTTATAATTTAAATATAATATTTATTAAAAAAAGAAATAAATATTATTATTTACAATAATTTATTAACAATAATTTTTTTAAAAATATATTTTTATTATAATAAATAATTTTAATCTAATATTTACATTATAAATAAATTTAAAACTTAAAATCAAAATATTATACAATTAAATATATAAAAACTTATTAAAAAATTATATTAATATTTTGTTTTTTTTTAATAAAATAATATATATTTTTAAAAAAACTCTTTTCTATATACAAATTTTTTTATAAAAATTTTTTTTCAAAATTAAAAAAACAAATATTTTTTTATCTTTCAATATTTAAAAATTCTTTATATTTCTTTTTATTCACTATTAAAGCCTCAACAAAATTAAAACTATATATTAATATATTGAAATAAAACAAATAATTAGAAAAAAACAAGTTTAAAAACTTTATTTTTTTTTAAATTGCACAAAAAAAAACTTGTAACAATTATTTTTTTATAATTTTTTTTTGAAATTCTTTGTATTTTTTCTTTTTTCCAATATACAAATCTTTTTAAATAATTATATTTTTTGTTTAAAAGACTTCTTTCAATTCAAAAAATTAAATTTTATATTAAAATTGTTTATATTGTTAATTTGAAATATTAACAATATATTGTTAACCATATCAGCACATCTATTATCATTCCAGAACTAAGCTTGCCATTTGCTGATACATAGGAATCATGTTGCTTACAATACCAAAGGTACTTGTTGGTATAATAATTCTCTAACTTTTCTTCTTCTCATTTGTTCCTCTGGTACAATCCTTTATCAATAGACTTGATATTGATTACCATCAGATTTTTTAGGCAACAAGTATCTTAATAAGGTAAGTTTATTAATTATTGTTATACAAATACAGGTTTGGTTATACAATTATATTGCAATTGACTATTCCTATCACTCCCTTTTTGACTATTATATAACTTTACTTCTATTTATATTAACTGAGATGCATCTACCAATCTAATGTTACATTATGCAAATCTCTAACAAATTTCTTAAACTTTTCTTATCACATTGATATATGAACTGATATATTGTGCCATGTCATATAACCCATACCAATTTCATTCCTATATCCAATCCTACTACCAACACTTTCCACATCTATCTTGTACACTCTGTGAACAATCTTCAAATTCAACCTTCCAGTTTGTGATATCTGGTGCATGTCAAATCCTCCAAGTAGTAATTAGGTCAAAAATGGTCTATAGCAATCAGGTAAGAACTTGATTATCACATTTTCTTGTACTGTTTTCATCATTATTGTTGCTGATCATATGTTTTGCTTTATCTAGGTCTCTTATATCAAATTTCTTATAGTAAATGTCATTATTTATTGCTTTTATCAGTGCTAACTTACATACAATACTAATTGTTATGGTTTTGCAGTTTTATTTTGGATTGTCTTTTTTGACTCCCTGTTTCAAGTTATATATCTTTTTGGAATTCTGAAGTACTTCCACTGATTGATTTGCTCAGTATATATTTCTTCGTATTTGTTCACCCCTGATTATATTATAGATCCTTGGATTCATTCTTCTGGTTGGAGTAATATCATTCCATTTAGACTTTGTGGCAGAGTACTTAAGTAACATATCGTAACCTTTCCTTTAATCTTCCACTGATACAAACTATTATCAGTTGCTGCATTACAGATAAGTTATAAGTAAAGATAAGTCCCTAAATTAAAGGTGAGGATATAATTCAAATATCCCTTACTATTAAAAAAGTTTTTTTTAAATATAAGGTCAAAAAAAAACTACCTACAAAGATTTTTTGCAATTAGAACACTTGATTCAAGTGTTTTTTGAATTATGTCCCTATTAAAGTAATGAATAAATAATTATGTCCCTTCAAAAGGGACATAATTAATCTGCGAAATTTTATATGCTAAATAGTTTAAGGACTTATCCTTAATTGTGAGATGTAACTGTTGGATCCTTCAATGTATCTGTGTACTCTGCACATGGATACATCATTCTTTTGTTTCGTAATATTAGCTTATATGCAATACTAGTTTCCATAATCTTGTAATTCCAATTTAAGTTGTTATTTTGACTTTTC